TTTTCCTTTTCCAACATAGCCTCGTGGTACAAGCGATTCATCATCAGCGTTTCGCGTATTCACCACCTGAGATTATGTACCCGAGAGTTTCGTCGTTTTCAAAAAGCATCACTCGCACTCTCGACACATGATACTGCTGCTGAGACGAGAGTGAACAGAGAACGAACAACCAACCAGTGACCGGCAAGGATACACGATGCTTTGCTTTGCTTTCGCACTACCTCCCCGGTTCCTTTCTTTCATCCAACGATTTTCTCTCTGTGAAATCGATGGATTCGAGGGAACTCGTTAATCCGACTCTGCTGCAATCACAAGGTGAAGGTGAGCGTGACCCGACACTTATTTGTCGTCCATCTTTGATTCTTCACGAGGTTCGCGCATATGCACCACAGTTTAATTAGCACCACATCATTGTAACCAATCAACTAATATCTGCGTAACTTTCATCTAGTGCATCTATCCGAATCAAATTGTGCAAGAAGTTGCTTGAGAACGTTTTGGAGAGGGGTACGAGAGATGGGGGGATGGAATGTGGTGGTGAGGTGGTATGGCCTGCGTGAAGAAATTGATGGTGCATGAATGCAAGTATTGTCGCGAGATAACGACTCATGTGGTGAATACGCGAAACGCTGATGATGAATCGCTTGTACCACGAGGCTATGTTGGAAAAGGAAAAAGGAACCATGAATGACCAACGATGACAAGAATCAGGGTTCCGGAGGTCAGTAGCAACGGGAGAACGGGAGAGAGAATCTTTTTCATGATCCGAAATGGACATGCGCACACATTATTGATCAGCACTCCCTTATCGTGTAAATCTAGTTAAATTGTTTGTACTTGATCTATCGATATATTCTTTTAAGGATTCATTTATAATTCATCATCACATCTCATTATTGCCTAGCACATGCGGGAATCGTTCCTGTGATCCGTAAAAACTAATAATCAAAATAAAAAAATAACGCATGATACCGCCTCGACCTATCAGAATGCCTCGACCTTGTAAGCGTTTTTTTTTTTTTTTTTTTTTTAGATGTGTCACCTTGTCCCTTGTTTTGTCTCGCTCATCTGGAAACA